AAATCCCATTAGATAAATGCGAATTTGTAAAAACAGTGACGTCAGGCGCATATTGTATTATGTGTTCATTACAAAGTGACATCGCCAACTACTGGCCTGGCAGCATAATACAGAGTTTGTAGTCGGGGATCGTTTTGACCATGTTGTCATTTGTACGCAAACAAAAAGCAAACGAAAAAAAACGTTTCAGTTTTTTGTACATTTTTACCCTTTCTGTATATTTAACAAGTCAATACAAATAATTTCACAGTAAAATATTGTTAAATTATACATAACTAGCATTCCGTTTTTAAACAGACATTCCATTTTAAGTTTAAATGTTATGTTTAAATGGTGTATATTGGTAACTTTAGGATCCACTAGTTGCTTATTAGCATGCATACTGCTAGAATATCGACTGTTTATTAGCACTTACTGTACATTAATGTCTTATTCCCTTAATCCTACCCAACACATAATTAACAGCTACCTCACTAACTATTAATAAGCAATAATTACAAGTTTAATGAGGCAAAAGTCATAATTAGTTAATAGTGAGATTGGACCCTAATCTAAAGTGTAACCGGTATATTATTTAGAGCTTCCACCAAAAAAAGTCATCCCAATGCACAAAACTACTAGCCTAGCAACAAGTTGAACACTGAAACAATATTACAGTAGCGTGTTTTATCCTATTGCAAAGGTAAAATGAGCTGTGAACTGAATTTGACACTGGGTATATATATATATATATATATATATATATATATATATATATATATATATACCCAGTGTATATCTCTTTTTTATAATCTCTTTTTTTTTCTTTCATAAAGCAAAAGACACTGATCAAGCACAACCATTACATTTGACATTTAAAAAAAAGAATGAAAAAAAAAATGAATAAAGATGGATGAACGCATTCTCCCCTCAAGAAATGAATTCAAGATGGCCCCCAATTTGAGGGAACAATGTTGATGAACATGATGCGCTGTGACTACTGATCCAAAGTGAATAAAAGGCTTCACTATGCAGTGGAGATGCAGAGCCTTCCCATGGCCCCTGGCATCAATAAAAGGGGCCTTGCTCTTCTAAACTAGCAAGCAGTCAATTTCTCAATTATTCATTTTATTGTAACAATGACCCCAAAGGTTTTAAGACTGTTTTTTTTTTTTTTTTTTCTGCAAATGCACCAATAAGAAAGTCTTCAAATAATTCATCAGCACAATGATGCAATCCACCCAACACCCTGAGGTCAGTGAATCCTAAATAAATCATCTCGCTCTTCATTCTCATTTGTAACCATTCACGTTTCTCTGAAATCTGACATTTTAAATTCCAGTGGGTGTATATTATCACTTCTGCATGACTCAGCACAAACTGACACACTGTGGACGTGCACTTCATTAGCATCAGCCGAATCCCCCTTTCCTGCTCCGCAACACGCTCTGGAGCCCTGAGCCTGACACGGGTCGTTTGCACAAAGTGACAGTTCAGTTCCCCCACAGATCGGAGTGCAAGGGGCCCGGACCCTGCAGTGCAGTCAGGCAAGTTTCTTCTCCAGAAATGGTCAGGCAAAAAGAGCAAACGGACACTGCTGTCTGAGGGCAGACCAGCGGTGGAGAGAAAGACAGAGAGTAATGAGAAACAGCCTCGAGATGTTGCTCATCTTCTTCAGCAGGGCTTCATTTCTGACTAATTTAGGCGACACAATTCGGAGCGTCTGACTTTGAGCCATCACATCAAGTGTCACTGTGCCTGGAGAGGAGATGATGCAGAGATAAAAAGAAGAAACACCACTTGCCGATAATAGGAATGTGGGATAGCCCGCAATGCCCCATATATGGCCACCACACAAAAGCAGGGAGCCCTATGGGACCACTGCTAAAAAGATAATCCATAACAAGACTGTGGTACAAAAATAACTCCATGCCACGTAAAATATGAGTTACATTGGCCAGTCAACAATATAAAAGACTTTGAAAATTAATTAAAGGGGTTATGACATGAGAAATTTCCATAGTTTGTGAGACAACGCTTCCCCGCCATTGATAGAATTTTCTCACTTTATTATTTTTTTTCGCAGCTATACGGTAGGGGGCGCTATAAGGCATCTTCCGAAAGAGTACTGAATCTGAAAAGAAGAAGCAGAAACAAGCGATAGCATATTATCTTTCCCCAAACCAGGTCTGCAGCAAATCTCACCCTAAAACTCTAAAGATTTCATTGGTCATGTCAATCACTTTACTGATTTCCTACACCAAACACTGATCCCTAAACTACCCGTCACTGTAACCTTAACCAATGAAATTAGTTGCAGGGTGTAATTTCCACTCAACTGGTTTAGTAAAAAAAAAAAAAAAAATATATATATATATATATATATATATTTAATCATATGTAAATGTAAAATAACGCGACCACCAACATTAAACAGCATATGAATCAAAACGGACTAATTTTACTAAATGAAATGGCGACCCAGGATGATAGGTCTGCGCTATTTTTTTTGCAAAAAAATCTTTATTAACAATATAAAAACCTCAGAGAACATATTTAAATAACAAAAAAAAGGGTCCATTTCACGACCCCTTTAAATGCCTTAAAATCTTCACCCCAAATAGTCAACATTTCAGCGCAATGTATAGTCCAAAGCCATTAAATGCTATTTTTTTTTTCACTGCAAGTCCTTTATGTCATATCAGACAACCACGTCATATCAAGTTATGCTGGAGTGGCGAATAAATTGTGGCAGCCTATTTTATAATATACCTTGCGGTGCAAAACTAGCCTTGGTATCCCATTTTCCTAGCCGCGGCTTCACGGCCAAGGTTGATATTTCCACAGAAATCACTAGTTAGAATGCATGAAGGCTGATGAGATGGATTTCCCTGCTGTTTATATCTCAGTGACTTTCTTGTCAAACTTTTGTCAAAAAAAAGCCACTTTTTGAAAATGACTTCCAACTCTAAAATGTTACAGTTTCAAACATTCCAAAAAAAGTATAAAAGCCTTTCCCAGTTACATCAAAGATGTGTCCTCAAACAAACGACTATTTGGCTGTATTCAGATTATAGATAGTTATGGTCGAATATATGAAGCTGTTTGAGGCCATGTTTAACAAACCTAACGTTTAAATACAGCAACACCGCCATAAATCCGTTACTGCAATATTACCGCAATCAGCTAATGCCTGCTCAAGTGCATTTAATGTGCACCAGCATCATAATTATCTATTATGCAAGTCTAATATGTTTTTTACATTTCAAAACACTTTACTTTCATCCTCAGCAAGGCAGCATTTCAAACGCTGATGTTATCATAAAGTATAATCAAGCTCATGTTTTTGCTGGCCTGCTGGATATCATCCTAGTGCAATGGACCAGAAAAACAGTTTTAGAGATCCTCTCATCGTCCCATTCAAAGGCCACACTTTGTTACCATGCACACAACCAGGAGTGAGGGATATCAAAGACAACCATTTATTTTGGACCCACTCTTTACAGATCTTTTTTTGTTTAGTTTTTTATTTATTTATTTATTTTTGTCATGGCTGTTTGAAGCCCATTGGACGCTCATCCGGGAGGGCAGAAGCTTCATTCTGACACAACAGCGGGGCTTGTGTGCTCTTTTAAACCTGTGATAGCAATCCACTAAAGCCTCTACTCTATAAATAGAAGCTTTCAGCCTAATCTTCAAAAAAAAAAATTGGAGCATAAGCTTCTCTAAACATGCAGATAGCTGAAAGTAAGTGAAACATCACTTTTTAATAGTAAAACTATATTTCCAGTGCCTATAATGACAACTTGATACAGAAATGCTTTAAGATGGGGAGTTCTGTTTAAGAATTCATAGATGGAGAAGGAGTAATATTAATTATGGAGTCTGTGCCGTAATAAAACACTCACACAATAACTGGGGAACAAAATAATCAATGGCTTAATCTTCATTTCAAGCTTGATTCATATTTAAAACATTATAAAATGATAATCACTCTCAGCTACAAGATCATAAATGGAATATGACACAGTTTGGAATGGAATATAAAGCTCATTTGGAAAAGGGGATGAAAAAATGAAATTGGGGGCCTACTTAACTCTACTGAACCTCGATAATTCCAAAGCACCATGTTCCGCTTGATCAGGAAAGCTGCCACCTTCTCCCTATGGGGTTATTATTTTCAGCAAAGTGAGACCGGAATGGCATAGGACGGTTACTCCCCCCCCCCCCCCCTCTCTCTCATTATTCATTATTTTCGAATCACTGTGCTGAAATTGAAGTGATATTGTCAGCATCCATTCTCAGCCAACAATCTCTGTGAGCTGTTGTCCTTTCACAGTATGCTGGGTCATTCCTGACTCCAGTTGATCTCTATCTTGTGCCAGTTGTGAAATGTTACAGATGCTAATTAGCTTTAATATCTGCGACCCCGATGCAAGTCCATTATGCATCATCAGAAATGTTCATTGCTAGCAAATTCCTTCAAAGGCATTTGTGGCAATCTGTTGCTGCCAGCGCTCGTGGACAGCAGAGGGACGACTGACAAGAAAAGAAGACGTTTGTCATTGATGGAGGCTGACAGCAGCATAACAATTACATTTAGGCCAAAAGGCTAAGTATGGTGTCAGGTGCTTAAAGCAAGTTCAATTGACCCTCTTCACTGCCAAAGACAGCATTTGGGAATGCGTTTTAGGATTCACAACTGAATTCCAAAAAACATGTGTTTACTATATTAAAAGATAAAAGAGATGGCATGATGTAAACATACATTAGACTTAGTACCCCTGACACCCCCCCCCCCCCCCCCCCCCAAAAAAAAAAAAAAACATTTAAAAAAATTAATTAGTTAATTAATAAATCCCCATCCAGGTTGTGTTACACTTCTGACATAACATGAAAGAAAGAACATAACACATCAAGAAAGAACATTCCTATTGGGTATACACCCATAAATTGTAAAACAAAAAAAAAAAAAGAAAAAAAAAAAGTCATAGACATCAGTAGCAGATCACAGTGAGCTGTTTTTAGTGTGCTTTTATGTGGAAGGGTGGAGGAATACAAGGGGGCATCATAAAGACACGGTATAATTAAGCTGTGAAATGATCTCCAGCATTAAAGGACTGCAGCTGTCTGGTTCATACTCACCCTCCTTGGATGGTCGTCGCACCTCAGCGCTCAGATTGCACACCTGCGCCGAGCGCACGTGAGGAGTCAGGCATCCTTCGGTTTGGGGGTTTAAAGGCAACACCACGTTACTGAGCATCAGCACGCTCTCAGATTCCCCATCTCCTAAATGTTGCGGGCAGGTGCATTTAGCATAGACTATTCCACAGGATTCAGCTTTCTCTCCTTTCAAGCAGTTTTCCAACCACGTGCATAACACCTGACATCCAAACTGACTCGGGCTCGCCTTGTTTAAAACCACAAACTCCACCACAGACCTTTCCTCCTCATCCGTCTTCTTTGTCGTCAATCCGTTGTAGTCGTAGGGAAACACTCGCCGGAGCTGCACGAAATTTTTGTCGTAATGCAAAAAAACATAAATATTCTTGGCGTCATCACAGAGGTGCACAATGGACTCGTTGATCCTCAACAGCTCGTTGATCTTCTCGTGGGAGAAGTGATCGAACTGGTAAGCCAGCAGAGAGAATTCGGAACAGCTAATTTCTCGTTTGTAAAGTTTTAGGTAGATGCTGTATTTGGTAGGATCTGGGTTCTCCAACGTCCAAGTGCAGTTTGTGAAGTTCTTGGGAAACATTTCATTTATCGAGTAAGATCCATAGATAACTCCTTTCACTAGCGTGGAACACCAGAAATCTTGGGCACCAGTATATCCAAACATAACCAGGAGATAGGTGGAAAATATATAAATCAACAGATTACGAACAGCCTTCATCCTATGTCATTTGGCCTGCAAGAGAAACAGAGATGCACTACATTTATTGTCAGCCTATATGGAGGTGGGTAGTGATGCCATGTCAACGAGTCTCAGTCTAAGATCTCCTATCCAATTAAGCTTTGTGTTAAACACATACTTACCTACATTGTTCATTTGAACAGCCTAATTTCGATCATAAACAACCATCTCGATTTTATAGAGATTCAAATGATTCTTTCCATGGGAATGTAACACATTTCGGATAAACATTGCCACCTTGTGGTGTTTAATAAATGGGGGGCTAATAACTTTGAGCATCTGCTGTGGCAGGATAAAACAACATAATATTTAGCGATTTAAAAACCATTTAATATGATCATTACACGCTGAATGGTCTTTACCGTGTTTGAATGAGTGACAGTTTCATACACAGTGATCAATGCCTTTCAATAGCTTTATGGTCGTTATATTAAGTCGCCACGCGTTCATGTGGAAGAATAAAAAAGGCTGGCATTACATGTGACCAAATAAACAAACAAACAAACAAATATTTGACAGAATAAAACGTGATGTATTCAGCTGAGATGTGTCGCAATTCTGCCGTGATCTATGTATGACCGCATTATAATCATAGCCTATCTCAGTCTGCTCAGGAACAGTTGTGATTTCGATTCAACTTAGTCTAAAAAACACCACATAAATGTAGTATATCATATTTTAGGATATAGGGAGATCATATCCGGTTGTCTGGATGTCGTGATCTATTTATTAAAGCAGCCTTGCAGTCAACATCTAATTCCCTTACTGAATGCAATCTTTACAAACTTAGATTTTGGTGTGATTCTCTCTCCGCGACGATCTATTCACATCTCAACATAATGTGTTGAATTCCTAAATTTTCTAGAAGTCTGAGGGAAGGCGGTGAGGGAAGAGGAGATCCAGTAGGGGAGAAAAGCTATTCGATGTCTTGTTTGCATGAATCCTGCAGGCATTGCAGCTGTGTGCAGTGTCACAGCATTACCAAACCGAGCCTTTATTTTTTTTTATTATTTAATCGCCTTAAATGCGCCACTATTTGTACGGCATAGCAAAACGTGTACGATGCAATATAAAGAGAGGTTATCCATACGGGACGAAACAGTATTGGCGCACATTGCAAACATTGTGCGCTACTTTTCCTTTACTTGACAATCTCCTTTGTCGCGTCGCGCGCTTGCACTTTTCGTTGACTATGACAGGAGCGATCCAGTTTGTCGCGCCGCGTCTCGATCAGAAGCCAAATATTTAAACGAATTAGAGGGGTAATGTAGCGAGAAAAAATGACAAATAAATAAATAATAAAAACTGCATCGACGAATTTATATTCACCTCTTACGAAGCCCAATAAGTCTAGCTGGATTGTCAATCATCAGTTTTTTGAAAATAGCGAACAGACGTGAAGACGGATTTTACTATAGGCTAGGCTTATTCGGCGCCAAACTCCATTCTATGTCATTTTCCTGCGAAACTCGTCGATCATCGTTTAACTTCGCACTGGCCCTGGTGTTACGTTCGAGTCCTATGAAATATTGACGTAGTTTGTATTGCATTAACCAGAATAAACTACGGGATCTTGAACTCGTCTATGCATTGAAGAGGGATAAACTTGGGCGAGGACCTTCCCATCACCGTACAAAACCCACCTATTTATCCATCTACTTATGTATAACAATAACACCCTAATAATAAACAGGTCTTACCTTGCACTCTGAAAGCTATGGCTATTTTTCCCACATACTTGGACACATCCTTTAGAAATTAAACGTGTCGCTCCCCTGCGAATCGATATCTCCCATTGCCTATGAAGTCTAGAGCAACAAGACGGTCAATGAGCAAAAATGCATTAGACTCCAGGCTGGATCATCATCATCATCATCATCATCATCATCATCTCGTTCCTTTTTTCCCACCTCAACGCAACCAAGTGATGAGAGCGCAATAGAAGTGAGCAGACACTAGAACGAGGGCGAAAAATGCTGTGAATCCCGTCTGATCATTAGTCGTTGTCTGCCCGTCCCTCAAGAGATGCCCAGGTCGGGTAGCAGGTAGAGCGCAGTCCCTGACGGATGGAGGATGCTGCTGACTCGCTGTAGAGTGAGATGGAAAGCGCTTTCTCGCCGAGCCTCAGGACTGGAGCTGCAATATCACGTCACTGCCACTAAGATAAGGCACGTATGGACGTCTCGAGCTGCGTCTCTCACCATCTCACCCCCCTTCCCCTGGATAACATAGAAACTCTTTTTTTATTATTTGAAATCAAGGCAGAGGAATGTCCCTCGGACTGTAACGACACGGGTTCTTTTCTGCGACGGCACGGACTATTTTATTCGAATCCAATGGAATAACAATTCATAATCGGCTTGTTTCCTTGGGAATTATGTTTCTGTGAGATTTTGAGAGACGTGTACAGGAACTCGTGAAGTTGCTTCTCTTTATCGCATCATCATAAAGAATTCGAATTTTTGAATCGAGAAAAACTCTGATTTTATTTGTGTTGACGGAAAAGCTCATACATAGCTACAGAGAAAATATACATTTCTAAAGACAACAAAACTAAACTTGAGAGATGCATCGACGCACAATGACTTTTGGAACCGAATTCTGAAGGGACTGAATTGAAACGGGTGTTTTTTGACGGGTGATTTATTAAGATCATTTTATTAGTTTTTCCACTTGGGTTTGTATTTGCAGCTGTGGCTGAATTCACAATGGAGACCTTAGTTTTCAGCAAAATATCAAAGGTACAGTTAATATTTTTCATACAATATAATTTGATACAAGCTTTTGTTATTAAAAAAATGTAATCATAATTAAATGACATATTTTGAAGAACACGGGTTTAATCCATTATGGTAGTGACAATAAATGGATATTATGATATGTAGCCTACTGTACGGGTTATCTCAGTCAAATGTAGCATACTATACAGAGCCTATCGGTAGACTTTTAAAATTACATAGTAAAACTTTAGATTAAATGCTTTCAAGTTGCAATGGAATTTCTGATTTTTAAAAAGATTTGTAAACTTCTGCTAAAATGTAAATATCATGCTGTCAGGGTTAGTCAGCATAAATTATGATTGACTAAACGCCAATCATCTAAAAGACTTTTAAAACAAATATTTATGTGAAATTAAAAATGTATATGAAAAATGATATGAAAAATGTATGTATTTTCAATTATTTTCTGCCGGCATTGAGAATCAAACCTGTAACCATTAGGGATGGAGTTAAAAATATATATAACTTATTTATATTAAGATATTATTGATATATGTTAAAGTGTAGACAAGTGCTAATATACACACTTTGAATGAATTGTAGGCTAACATCTGAAAAACACATTGAAAACTAAACATTTGGATGAAACATTTCGAACTCTGGAAAAACCAAACAGTTTTTGAATGAAACCATAAAACTAGCATATGGTTTGCCAAATTACCAAACACACTGAATAATAATAATATATAATAATAATATATATAGCATTAATTTTTATTGTGGATAAAAAAAAAAAAACAGTTTCTGGCATACTCACCTAAAGGATTATTAGGTACACCATACTAATACTGTGTTTGACCGCCTTTCGCTTTCAGAACTGCCTTATTTCTACGTGGCATTGATTCAATTAAGGTGCTGAATGCATTCTTTAGAAATGTTGGCCCAAATTGATAGGATAGCATCTTGCAGTTGATGGAGATTTGAGGGATGCACATCTATAGGGCACAAAGCTCCTGTTCCTCTACAACCCAAAGATTCTGGGTTGAGATTTGGTGACTGTGGGTGTTACAAACTGCTCTGAGGAGAGGGTTAAGATCCAAATGCAGCTTTAATTTAAGAATGGTCAAACAGGCAGGGGTCAGGAAACAGCAAAACAGGGATATCAGAGAGTGAGCGCAGAGAGTCGTCAGGTAACAGGCAGAAGATCGGGGCAGGCAGCAAACAGGCAGAAGTCAGGAAACAAACCAGGATCGAAACCAGAGAAACAAGAAACAGGGTAACACGCTCAGAAATTACAGGCAGTGGCAATGTAATACTTCGCAAAGAGTTCATGTTTGAGTGTGGCTTATATAGGCAGTCTGAAATGAGGTGCAGGTGTGTGTGTGTAATCAGTCACAGGGATGAGGCATTATGGGAAACGGAGTTCTGGTAAAGTGATCAGTTCTGATGTGGAGTGCCCTCTGGTGATTCTCTCGGGCACTCCAACTGGTGATCGTGACATAGCCCCACCCCAAAGAGCGGCTTCCAGACGCTCAAAACAAACAAAACTGTCCAGGTGGGCGGTGGAGCGAAGGCGGATCTGGGGGTGGGATGAAGGGCCAGGTCCGTGGAGCAGAAGAGGAGCAGGTGACCAGAGCGTATCAGGCTGTGCAGGCGACCAGGGCGGAGCAGGCTGTGCAGGCGACCAGGGCGGAGCAGGCTGTGCAGGCGACCTGGGCGGAGCAGGCTGTGCAGGCGAAGGCCAGGGCGGAGCTGGACGAGGCGAAGACCAGGGCGGAGCTGTCGGACCCTCAGGCGTCCAAGGCGAATCAAACTGTGGGCATGACCAGGGCAGAGCAGGCTGTGGACGTGACCAGGGCGGAACTGTGGGACCCTCGGGCGTCCACAGCAGTGAAGGTCCCTCAGGCGGCCACGGTCGTGAAGACCCCTCAGGCGGCCACGGCGGTGAAGACCTTTCAGGAGACCACGGCGGTGAGGACCCCTCGGGCGGCCACGGCGGTGAAGACCTTTCAGGAGACCACGGCGGTGAGGACCCCTCGGGCGGCCACGGCGGTGAAGACCTTTCAGGAGACCACGGCGGTGACGACCCCTCGGGTGGCCACGGCTGTGAAGACCCCTCGGGCGGCCACGGCGGTGAAGACCCCTTGGGCGGCCTTGGCGGTGATGCCCTCTCAGGACCAGACACCGGCTCGGGACCAGACACCAGCTCAGGAACAGACACCGGCTCAGGAACAGACACTAGAACAGAAATGGTCACAAACACAGAAACAAACTCAGGAACAGACACTGGGTCGGCCATCTTGTCCGGAGACACTGGGTCGGCCATCTTGTCCGGAGACACTGGCTTGGAGGCGGCCATCTTGTCCGGAGACACTGGCTTGGAGGCGGCCATCTTGTCCGGAGACACTGGCTTGGAGGCGGCCATCTTGTCCGGAGACACTGGCTTGGAGGCGGCCATCTTGTCCGGAGACACTGGCTTGGAGGCGGCCATCCTGTCCGTAGACACTGGCTTGGAGGCGGCCATCTTGTCCGTAGACACTGGCTTGGAGGCGGCCATCTTGTCCGTAGACACTGGCTCGGAGGCGGCCATCTTGTCCGTAGACACTGGCGCGAAGGTGGTGACGTGAACAGAATCTGGATCAGCAGAAGTGATTTCAACAGTCTCTGAATCGGCCATCTTGTCTTTAGACACTGGCTTGGAGGCGGCCATCTTGTCTTTAGACACTGGCTTGGAGGCGGCCATCTTGTCTTTAGACACTGGCTTGGAGGTGGCCATCTTGTCTTTAGACACTGGCTCGGCAGAAGTGAAGTGAAGCGTCTCTGGCTCGGCAGAAGTGAAGTGAAGCGTCTCTGGCTCGGCAGAAGTGAAGTGAAGCGTCTCTGGCTCGGCAGAAGTGAAGTGAAGCGTCTCTGGCTCGGCAGAAGTGAAGTGAAGCGTCTCTGGCTCGGCAGAAGTGAAGTGAAGCGTCTCTGGCTCGGCAGAAGTGAAGTGAAGCGTCTCTGGCTCGGCAGAAGTGAAGTGAAGCGTCTCTGGCTCGGCAGAAGTGAAGTGAAGCGTCTCTGGCTCGGCAGAAGTGACGTGACGCGTCTCTGGCTCGGCAGAAGTGACGTGAAGCGTCTCTGGCTCGGCAGAAGTGACGTGAAGCGTCTCTGGCTCGGCAGAAGTGACGTGAAGCGTCTCTGGCTCGGCAGGGCTGGCGGTGAGCGCAGGCTCGGCAAGGCTGGCAGTGAGCGCAGGCTCGGCAGGGCTGACGTGACGAGGCCCTGGAAGCTCTGCTGAGACGTGACAAGGCTGAACAGTCTCTGGCTGGCGGGACCCGGGAACGACAGTCCTCTTGATCCTCCGCACTGACTTCAGCGGGGGATCTGCCACACTGGCAACCAGTCCTAGACGGCCATAGACCGATCTGGTGACAGGCCTAATGGTTGACGTGGCGTGAAGATTTTCAGGCTGGGTGGGCGAGGCGTGAAGAGACTCAGAATTGGCAGACGTCAAACTCACAGAAAGAGTTGAACTGCTCAGTTGCAGGGCCAAGTCAATATACTGTTTTAGAGTCCAGCTAGGGTCATGCAATGGCATAAGGAAGCTTAGCGGCTCAGATAATCCTCCACGAAAAAATATCATTAAGCAAACCTCGTCCATGCAAGTCAGATGAGCAAGGTCCAAAAAGTCCATCACATAACGCTCAATCGTTTGATTTCCTTGGCGGAGACGCATAATTTGGGCTGCTGGATTCATTTTGGTAACACTGCTGGATCTTGGTGCGGCGAAGTATTCTGTTACAAACTGCTCTGAGGAGAGGGTTAAGATCCAAATGCAGCTTTAATTTAAGAATGGTCAAACAGGCAGGGGTCAGGAAACAGCAAAACAGGGATATCAGAGAGTGAGCGCAGAGAGTCGTCAGGTAACAGGCAGAAGATCGGGGCAGGCAGCAAACAGGCAGAAGTCAGGAAACAAACCAGGATCGAAACCAGAGAAACAAGAAACAGGGTAACACGCTCAGAAATTACAGGCAGTGGCAATGTAATACTTCGCAAAGAGTTCATGTTTGAGTGTGGCTTATATAGGCAGTCTGAAATGAGGTGCAGGTGTGTGTGTGTAATCAGTCACAGGGATGAGGCATTATGGGAAACGGAGTTCTGGTAAAGTGATCAGTTCTGATGTGGAGTGCCCTCTGGTGATTCTCTCGGGCACTCCAACTGGTGATCGTGACAGTGGGAGCCATTTTAGTACAGTGAATTCATTATGAAGAAACCAATTTGAAATGATTCAAGCTTTGTGACATGGTGCATTATCCTGCTGGAAGTAGCCATCAGAGGATGGGTATGGTGGCCATAAAGGGATGGACATGGTAAGAAACAATGCTCAGGTAGGCCGTGGCATTGCCCAGTTGGCACTAATGGGCCTAAAGTGTGCCAAGAATACATCCCCCACCCAATTACACCACCACCACCAGCCTGCATAGTGGTAAAAAGGCATGATAGATCCATGTTCTCATTCTGTTTACATCAAATTCTGACTCTACCATCTGAACGTCTCTACAGAAATCGAGAC